GATGTTAGAGCATTCTCAAGATGTTCTGGCTTAGCTGCATCTCCTAGTAAGCTCTCTGCAGGTTCATTTTCTTCTCAACCTCTTTTCAGTCTCTTCTATAATATTTTGCCATGTTTTCATGAGTCAGCTTGTATTCTAGAAGTACAGTGTTCTTGGCTGCCATGTTTCTTGGATTGGCCAGGAGAGCATGCAAGGTATACTTATCAAATGTCCAAAGAGCATGAAGCTAGGCAGGATAACTATTATGTTTGATGATAGAATCACGATCCCTAAAGCCTTGAACAATTAGAACTATGGTACAAATCTATTGCAATGAAGTTTACTTCAATAATTCTGTGCAACTGTGATCTCAAGACTATTGATTCTATGTTCAAGAGGACAGATGACAGATTATGCTTGCCTTCTCATGCTATGTAATCATGTACTAGGTTCTCACACAAACACTACATAGAGGATCTATAGAACAATATTAAGTTCTTCCTTTGAACATTATATTGGTACCAGTTTAGCACTAGAGGTAGACTATACAGATATCTGTTATATCTCACTCTTGCTACTAGGTCACCTCCTTTTTTGGGGGGGGGTAGAAGGGAGTGGTCTTTTTTTACATCACTTCTTGCATGTAAGTCAGTATTGAAAATATGTGTTATATTATGTATATAGACAGAGACAGAGAGATACAGATACAGAGAGATACACACACACACACATATATATATATATATACCCATAGATACATAACTATAGATGCATACATATATAGATACATACATACGTATATAGATACATACACATATTTAAATATATATAATATATATAGCAATATAATTCTCACTATACTTATATATAAAATGGCATAGGATACAATTCCATCTAACTGCATTTATAAATATTGTGCACAATTATATACACATACATATTATATATTATATATGTTATATTCATTTCTGAGAGCCATACTTTAGGAAGGATATTGACAAATATGAATATGACAAAAGTAGAGCAATGAGGGTGGTGAGGGGATGCCAAACCATGATACATAAAGCTGGATTGAAAGAGCTGGGTCTGTTGAGTATGGAGAAGAGAAGATTTAAAGAGTAATAGCAATCTTTAAGTATTTAAGATATGTGAATGACCACAGTAATGAAGATACATTGGACTGATTCTTCAGAGAGGCAATTTTAGGCTCAATGCAAAGGAATTTTTTCTAATAGAACTATCCACAAACGCCTTGACAGCTAATAGGTTTACTCTCCCTGGAGGTCATCAAGGGAAGGCTATATATATGACTACATGTAGAGAATGCTATGGAGGAAATTTTGGACCAAACATACATTAGACTTGATCTCTGAGGTCCCTTTCACCTTTGGGATTCCGTGGTTCTGCTTGCAAAGGTTGCCTGCCATCACCCATACTTCACACAGTGATTCCTCCAAGATACTGAACTCTGAAGTTCCTCTCTTTGCCCACCATCATCTGTTCTCCTCCCCCTCCCATACCTGCTTTTTGCCTTCAGCCTTTCAGGCTTCTGGTTCCTCCCACTATACCAAGTTTATTCATTTGCTTCTTATTTTTTTCTTTTCTTATTTTGGGAGGGTGGGTGAGGCAATTGGGGTTAAGTGACTTGCCCAGGGTCATACAGCTATTCTTTTTGTTTTTGTTTTATTTTTGTTTTTTGGCTAGGCAATGGCATTAAGTGACTTGCACAGGGTCACACAGTAAGTGTCAAGTGTCTGAGGCTGGATTTGAACTCAGGTCTTTCTGACTCTAGGGTCAGTGCTCTATACACTGTGCCACCTAGCTGCCCCTTCATTTGTTTCTGACCTCACTTCCTTCACTTCCCAGTTTTGACCCTATGGTCAATCATTTCCATTAGCTCTTCTTCTCTACCTTTGAATCCCTTGCTCGCCCATTCTCCCAGCATTGGGAGACTGTCTGCTGATCCTCAACTCTAGGATATTCCTAATATCTACTTCCCTTACTTCTCCTTCAGAGCTTCTGTAAGACATTATGAAATAGTGCTTATTGGGTTCACCTCAAATTTAAACTAACTAATCTCAACTAATCTGCTCTATCTCAATTACACAGTAATTCTTTCTTCTTTTATTATTTATTTATCTCTTACATTCCCTATAACTGTTCTCAATATTTTCTCCCTTTTTTAAGCTCCTAACTGTACTACACTCCTTCTCATTCAAGACATATAACCTCTCACTTTTTATTTGCTGAGACAAATTATACACGCTGATGTGAGCTCTATCAACTCCTTTCCTTCACTTCAATCCTCTCAGTCTACTCATCTTACCCATCCTCTTCTTCCATCTCATCACAAAGGAAGAGCCATGTCTCTTCTCTGCAGCATCTAACACCTTCATTTGCACCCTTCATCCTATTCTCTCCTGTTTCTTTTAAGGTCTTGTTCCATTAGTTATCCCTCCTCTTTCATTACTCTTCCACATTTTTCTCTTTACCAATTCACACTCTCCAATGTACAAATACATAGTCCCTAATCCTTTAAAAAGAGATAAACCTTCCCTTAATTCAGCCACCCATTAAAACTATAATCTTCTTGTCTCCCCATTCTTGTCGAACTTCCAGCAAAAGGAGACTACACTCACTGCCTTCACTTTCTCATAACCTCCTCAACTTTCTGCAACCCAAACCTATTGTTTCTTCCCACTATCTTACTGAAAAGTAGGAAGGTATCAGATTGTGAAAGGCTTTAAAATCCAGGTAGAAAATCTAAAATTTTTATATTTGGTGTTGAAAATAATATGGAATCAATGGCATTTATTGAGGGGGAGGGGGTGACAAGGTCAAATTTATACTTTAGGAAAACCACTAGCAGATGAGCAACAAGTAACAGGAATCATTAATACAATGGTACTGTTACAAATCAAAATAAAAAAGTACACTGGTCAAGTTGTTCCTTGAATTAGGAATCCAAATCTACAACATAAAGTTAAGTAGAAAAACTGAGAACTTAGTCTAAACAATAGAAAGGAGAAATTTATAGAAATAGAAAGAAAATAGAAATAGAAAAATAGAAAGGGAAAAAATAAATAAAATAAAAAGAGGAAATAGAAAAAATAGAAAGAAAAAAATAGAAAGGGTAGGAAATAAGATTGTCAAGTAAAAGATGAAAATACTGGATCAATTAGCCCAAAGAAGAGAAGGCTATAATGAAAAATCTTCAAATATGGAAGAGCATATTTTGTTTGGATGAGAAATTTATTCTCCCTACCCAATACTGTAGAGGGCAGGGGGAGGCAGAGCATTAAGCATAAGCCAATAAAGAAAGAAGCTAGATATAAAGAAATCTCTAATAGCAAATAAACACTAGCATGGCATACCAAAAAAAAAAGCCAATTATGTCATCGCCTTTAAAAGGTTTGAACATTTCTAAGTGGAGGTCAATAGCACCAAATATTAAATGAAATCTAAAAGAAAGTAATGTTTCACCATAGGACATAACAAGTACATTGACTAAAACCTCTTTTTAGACATTTCTAGCATTTTTTTTTGGTTTCTCAGCCCCAAGATGCTCAAATACCCTAAAGGTTCTGAGAATTGATCCTTGCTAACCTCCTTCTTCTTTCTGTTTGCTTACATGCTATTGTTATATAACCCAGATTACCCCTCAACATTTCTTCCTGAATGTTATGACCAGGCTCAAGGTTCTGTTTAAGTCAGCATCTATTAAGAACCATACCCTTAGAAGTGCCTATATGATAACTTTCCTGAGACAGACCAATGAAGAGGACACATTAATTCAAAGTAAAGGTATATAGTTAGATATAATAATAAAATCAATAATAAGGAAATATTACTACTACCCCATAAACAAAGGACATACTATCTCATATATCTCCATAGTACCAGTGGGAGAGGAAATATCTGTTGATGGAACAATTCATTTTGCTTTGGTTGTATACCAGCTATAATACCTCTTTGCTTTGAAAGAACCTGCTTACTGCTTCTCTGAAGAGCAAATGATGTTCTCTGTAAGGTTATAAACTATTAATATCAACTCTTGGACTGCTTTCTCTACTGAGCTGTGCCATCTGTGGGTTTCACAATGAATTGTTACTAGCCTACTTTACCAATGAGCTTCTACTGACAACTGATGATGATTTGCTGATAAATTGCTCTGGTAGGCTGCTTTTAAATAGTGAAGTGTCTATAGGCATTTTATGAACCAGTTCAAAGGGCTATTTTTGCTCTTTTGTGAGTCCAGAGCCATAGTCATACCCAGCCAGCATAGTAAAGAGTCTCTCAGGTCCAATCTATCTTTTTGACTATGTGGCTTCACCTTCAGTGGCAAATCCTACAGGTATACTCAATATTTGGGTTGAGAGGAACATAACTTTGAAAATCCCATCATGCTTCTGATCATTACTACCAATGCTATGAAGATTACCTTAGAGTTTCACTTAGTTACCCTGGAAAGTCAGGGTAGAACCAGCAACCTTTGTCCTATATTCCTACAGCTAACCAAAATGACTAATAGCTGGTCTGTATGAACCTTTAACTTAAAGAAGCAGGCCATGGATTACATATTCTACAGGACAAAAAGATGTAGGTGATTTGTGATCCGCATTACTTGAAGGAGTACCCCTATAGATGAGATCACTAATCTATTTATTATTGAGCAATCTATTTTTAGCATGTCAAAAAGCCCTGCTCTGTCTTTGATACAGTCACAAATAATAAGAGGTTTTTTTTAACCTTGCCAATTTTTTTCTTGTCTTACTAATATAAATAGAATCCTTTATTGTAACTGTTTCCCCTTACTGTAAGTACCTCCCTTTCTATTCCATAGAGGAGGCATGGAGAATTATAGAATTTGCCTAGAGTCAATGCCAAAATACAGGATTATTTAGAACCTGGGACTTGATCAGAACCAGAATCAAAATGACTTATTATGCAAACAGGGAATGGCAATAGTTCTCTTGATCATCAGTAGAGGAACTGGGGAAATAGCATCATGAAGAATTTACCTGATTGATTTGACTCCATCACTTGCTAAAAATTCAGGGTGCCACTGGTGAATTTTTGGGATATTTTCCAGTTCCTGGGCTACAGTGCCCTGAGTATAATCATCCTGCCAAGTGAAACCTGTGAAATGAAAATACACAAAATTTTCAGCCACTGCAAAAGTTTCAGTAAAGCTACTGGGTACCTGGATATGGGAGATGCAGTTGGGGACAACATTTTTAACCACATCTGATTACCCTGTTAATCCCAAGTGAAGACTATCCTCTACTATAAGCCTTTTTATTAATCAGACTTTCCAGTATTCAAGTCTCAAAATGCCACAACAGTGTTCCTCTCAAATAAGACAGTGGGTGTTGTGCTGGGTTTAAAGAGACTAGACTCAATGGAATTTTACTACCACTAGACACCCAAGTGCCCTAAGCCAGACAGATAATGTGGTTAAACAGAAAAGCTATTTCTAGCCATTATGAAAAATAATGAAGGAGCTTCCAAACTGAAGGATGACAATCATACAAAAAAGTTACATCTCATGAGCAATTTGTACACTCCTACACATCACTCATCAGATGCACTGCCCAGTCTTTGAATCTCCAGGCCATTCCTCCTCCCCAATTCAACCTTGCTTAAGAGTCAAGCATTTGGAATGGAATAAGGGGTATTGTTACTGTGAAAGTAATTATCATGGGGCTTAATGTACTGTATCTGGGAGCCAATTTACATTATATTTATACTCAAATGTTATGACAAAGAGGTTTATAACAAGAGTGAAGTGTAGTTATGAAGGCAAAATCCATGCGATTATACATTAATTACATGCACTGCAGATCACATGATAATTATGTTCAGAATTACCAAATAACTCCCAAGAATAATTATTATGCAATTTGTACATTTTAGATCTTATGGTAACACTTTAGCTCTTAGAACTACCCCCATGCAATTATCCACAATTATCTAATCACTAAATATCATGTAATTACAGAGATATATTTTTATGCCCTGTACGAAAACACATTACCAAAATCTTCAAATCAAGATCACTGAATGTATGTGTGTGTGTGTCTGTGTGTGTATCTGTCTCTGTGTGTGTGTGTACGTGCAGCCTGAGCCCATGAGTGCACAAGCACAAATGTATATGTATGTGTTTGCATGGATGTGTGTGTGTGTGTGTGTGTGTGTGTGTGTGTGTGGAGCACATGCACAGGCACACACTCACAAGTATATGTGGTGGCTGTGTTCAGATATGGCAGCAATCTTACTGACAAACAAGCTCTCTGCAAGGTCTCAGAAAAGAGGCTGGGGGATATAAGCTGCCTGCAGGACCCCACTTAAAGTCTTTTTCAAATGCAAATTTCACCTTTCTAAACATACAGGTAGCAGGATTCAAACTGTTTATACCTTTCTAAATCTTAGAATGTGCCCAAGAATTATCCAGGATGAAAGTTGGAGAAAAATGTCACCAATCAGAACAAGTTCCTACAATAACCTGTTCTAAGAAGCTTTGTTTGGTACAATACAACTCCTCAAAAACTAGTCACTGTAGACAGGCAGTCAAGGAACAACCCAAGTGTTGTAAATTACTTGGAGAAAGATGCTACTAAGAGAGGTGGGTCAGTTTCACTTGCCCTGGACTCCTTAAAAAAAAAAAGACCAGAACAAAATAGCCCCCAAAGAAACTGATGTGTCTGTTAATATTCCCAGTTCACTCAGAAAGGCAAACACATTTGTGCGTGTTAGCATCAGCATCATACTCCACAAAATAATTTTAGATCTTTGGAAGGAACTTTGAAGGCCATCTTGACCAATTGCTTTATTTTACTGATAAAAAAAAACTGAGGTCAGAAGATATTAATGACCCATCCAAGGTAAGACAGGTGGTGTGGGACAGAGAGAGAATTCAAACTCAGGCCTTCTGACTTTAAATCAGGTGTACATGTAGCACGGGCTGGGAATCCCTCCATACCTGGACACACAGACTGTGCTCTGAGTATGCTTATGTCTCAAATCCAGAACTTTCTATACTGGTTTATATTAATGCTTATTCAGAATCAACAACTCATCCAGAGAATGAAGAAGACTTATTCTTCTTTAGTTGAAACTAATGGTACTAAGACAGAGAGATACTGCAAAAAGGAAAATTAATTTTTCCCTGATCTGTGAAATTTTAGTTCTAAAAAAGGAGAAACAATTAGACCTGTACTCTGTGAATGGGATGTCAGGGCTGGCCTCTGGAAAAGGAAATAGTTTACCACCCAACTGACTAATTATTGGTAATAGGCACCCTTAGCTCAGCAGTTGCTTTCTTCCTAGGATAGACCACGAAATTTCACACTAGCTTGAAAGGTAGAGATGGGGAAAGGATATGACAACCTATAACCAACCACACAAATGCTTTCCCAGGGCAGAGTTGATGAAGCAGAGTTCTGAGACAGTATAACAAGTGGAAAGAGTACTGGGTTTAGAATTAGAGGATTTGGGTTGAAATCCTGGCTCTTCCATTATCTGTGCAACCTTGGGTAAGTCAGTCATCCTCTTTGGGCCTCAGTTTCCTCATCTGTGAAATAAGAGCCAGAAGACAGTTTAAGAGCCCTTCTAGCTCTATGAAATCATATAAAATCTCCAGAATAGGGCTAAAAAGGGGAATGGCAAGAGTTAAGAGATCTCATGGTCCCTCCAAGAGGGAATCAGACTTGTCTGTTTTAAGGATATGCTACCAAAATTAAAATGTGCTGAGAACTTACCAGTTCCTATCTGTTCATTTCTTTTTAAACAAACAGGAATAAGCCACTTCGGTCTTAAAACCACTTGTATTTCTGTGGTAAAAGATAACCTGAAATGTTAGCTATTGTTGGAATGTAAGCTCCTTGAGAGTATGACTGTTTCATTCTTTGCATTTGTATCCCTAGTGGCCAACACAGTTCTTGCACATAGAAAGTGCTTAAAAAATCCTTATTAATTGACTGATTCAGTAGGTATAGGTATATTGATTATCACAAATCCACTGTGAGCGTGAACAAGTCATTGACATTCCCTGGGCACCATATGGAAAGAGTGTAGCTTTGCTAACCCCGTATATTTCTGAATAAACTTTGTATTCCATAGTTGAAAAAATACTGGCTCAAGAGATGAAAATCTGAGTTCAAATTCCATTCCTGCTATGTCTACCTATATAGAATTGTCACTTAACTCTTCTGGACAGCAGTTTCCTCAACTGTAAATGGAGGGAAATGTAAAAGAACAGTATTTTTACCCTTTTATGGACCATGTATGCCCCCCTTCAGCAGTCTGGGGAAGCCTAGAGAGCACTTATCAAAAAAAATATTTCTAAATAATTGAGGAAAATCCTACATTTCAGTTATAGGAGGGGTTCTTAACATGGGGTTGGTGAATATTTTTTTAAAATAGTACAATAAAGATTTCAATATAATTAATTGCCTTAATATTCCTATGTATTTTATTTTACACATTTTAAAATGTGATTCTGATATGAGATCTATTGGCTTTACCAGACTCCCCAAAGGGACCATCATACAGAAAGAGACAGACAGAGAGAGACACAGAGAGGTAGAGACTAACCTCTTCTGATTAGAAGTTAATAATGATAAAAATATTTTTCCCTCCAAGTTCATGAATCCCTTGCAAGCTATCCTACTTCCTAAGAGTCTGTGGACCCAAGATTGATAACCCCTATACTACATGATCCCTAAAATCATGTCTACTTGTAAATCTACAGTTCTATGATACATACCTCAAGTATCATTGAAAACAATTAAAAATCATAAATACCAGTATAGAACTTTGTTAGCTATATTTTTATTTTAAGGTGTCAAATATGAACATAAATTTAAGTACATCTTGGTGCTCTTTAGGACTATTTCAAAGCTTATCAAACTCAAAAAAACAGAACCATATAAGACACTGAATGGCAGCATTCAAATAGAAATCTCATTTGGTTCAGCTAATGAGGTTCCCTGAACCTTGTTGCCATCCTGCCTCCATGTTCTATGAGAACTTAGCCCATATGGGGTAGTTTTTCTTCCCTATAGGGCAGCCCATCTTCCCCACCCAACATTGCCATACCATAAGATTGGCCCTATTGTTATTAAGTTATACTTTTAAATTATCCACATCCTGGTTGAGAGGATTCATTCCACGCCTCTTATTTTTCCTTCACATATTTCAGCTGCTGTGGGAGTATCTTGATGCTTATTAGACTTGTGTCAGAGGAGAATCAAGAAAAAGCAGAGAGGATTGAGTTTTCTTCTTTCCAAATACAACTTCTTGAGGTAAATGTAGAGGAGAAGACTAGAATTCTTAGTTAAAATGAAGTTCCTGAATGGTGTGTGGATGTCACTGATCAACGTTTTCCCTCTCCTCTTTGTCTCTTCCTCCCTCCTTTTCTCCTTGCCTCAGTAGGTGAGCTAGTTGTATTCTTATTACTAAATTACATTCATCCCTACTCTCTCATTTGGTTCCAGGAGGGTGCTGCCATGCTGGGAATGAAGAAGACACAATCTCACCTATGTCTTTCCTTACTATTCTCTCTACTATAATACATGGCACTGGGAAGTGGAGCATAATGATAGTTTCTGTGTCCCTTAAGCTTTCTTGGAAACTATTAGTAATGTCATATAGGTTTTAAAAATAAATATCAGGTATGAAAGGCAGAAGAGAACAAAAAGAAGAAGAAAAGAGATGAAGATTTCTCCATTGACTTTACCTATAAATGGGACTCTCTTTTCTGCACAATAATACTAACCTTCATTATTCTTCAACAAGTGACTTACAATGAAATAGACAACATAGGTCAACAAGTTAGTGGGAAAACCAAATGCATCCCTTACTTTGAAAACAGTCCACTTCTTTCTGGTCAGTATAAACATAATTCTTCACATTATCACCTACCCAGAAAGTCTAATTGTGTGTGTGTGTGTGTGTGTGTGTGTGTGTGTGTGTGAGAGAGAGAGAGAGAGAGAGAGAGAGAGAGAGAGAGAGAGAGAGAGAGAGAGGGAGGGAGAAGGAAGGAAGGAAGGAAGGAAGGAAGGAAGGAAGGAAGGAAGGAAGGAAGGAAGGAAGGAAGGAAGGAAGGAAGGAAGGAAGGAAGGAGGGAAGGAAGGAGG